AAAAAAAAAAAAAAAAAAAGATTGCTGACCTAAATGAGCTGTAGCAAAATGAAAAACAAAAGTACGTAAAAAGAGCGCCAGAGGATGCCCACAAATTGTTGTCAGGAAAGGGAAACGTTGCATGGCCAGCAACCCACCCGCCCAGCACACCGCGCCTGCTATATAGCGTCCCGTCAGTAGGAGCTCGTCCTCGCGTTGGTGTCTTGCCCCATGCCAGGAGGCCTATACCTGATGCAGCCCTAAGCCGCCCTCGCAGCCCTTGCAGTCCTCAGTGTGCATGCTCCTCCAGCATCTCATACGGACCTACCTACCGTCTTCACCCGAATAGAACGCCCGGTTATCAAAGCTGTATTGGGTGCACTTCTCTCCCCAGATACAGCTTCAATGAATGAGCGCTCTCTATTATGGCGGAAGACGGAAGTGTGCCATCCACAGGGGATAACCGACTCGCATGCACTTCTGGACTCAAAGAAGTTAGGCTCGGCAACAAAATGATGCCCCTCCTGATCCTGTTCATCATCCCCCGGGCCAGGTTCGGAACCTGCCCTCAGCCCTTCGCCTCACTGCCACGCTTGCGACAAGCGACTGTCAAACTCTTCTGTTGTTGTAGTCGAATCAGCAGACCCCGACCACTCACACACTGCCTCTCACCAAAAAGACAGATCAATGAGCTGCTGGGTGACATAGGAGACTGGGATGCACATCAAGACAATCTTCCTGGCAAGTCGGAGCAGCAGCACATGCACATTAGCGGGTCGGCATCTCTAGCGCAAAATGGCTCAACCAGAAACACAGATGCAGAGTCGAAAGGGGGCAGGAGGGCAAACGAGAGGGGAGCAGGAGATGGAAAGAGGAAGGGAAAGGAGGGAGGCGGGGGAAGGAAGAGCGGGAGGGAGGGGTAGGGAAGGGGAAGGAAGAGCGGGAAGTAGGGGTAGGGAAGGGGAAGGAAGAGCGGCAAAGAGGGGTAGGGTGGGAGAAGGAAGAGCAAGGAGGGGTAGGGAGGGGGGAAGGAAGAGCGGGAAGGAGGGGTAGGGCGGGGGAAGGAAGAGCAGGAAGGAGGGATAGGGAGGGGGGAAGGAAGAGCCGGAAGCAGGAGGGAGGGAGGGAGGGAGGGAGGGAGGAATAGGAGATGACATTGATGATGACCAACCTGGAGGTGGCAACAGAGAAATTGCCCACATACCACATCTCCAATCTTTTGCAAATTGCAGAACACCGCAGATGGTCTCATTCACATTCCGAAAACAAAAAAAAAAACAAGAAAAAAACAATCTTCTGTCCTCTGGGCCTTAGCCACTCCAGGCATCAGCTCAACCAAGACCGAAGAATCTAATAGCTTAAATAACCATAGGCAACCAAGACTGTCAGAAGCGGCCGAACCTGGACGTATTTTTCTATCGCAATTGTGTGCAGAAATTGAGTAAAAAACTTTTTAAAAGTCCTAGTGTGAGTAGTACTGAGTATGGCCTGACAATAGAGCACCAAGACGGGGGGGGCAGAAACGCTTTCTTTTTTCACAAACAAAATAAGCAAATGAAACAAGACATGGAGGGGGAGCGAAATCCAGATCCGCTCACGTGGCCACGAAGCAAAAAAAGCCAAAGCCACTCAGACAGATAAACCATATACGATACCTGTTCTTGCTGGGGGGAAGGGGAGGGGGACAAACTACAGTCCACTGCCATGGCCATGCGTCTAAATCGCCGAGTTAGTGCTTAGCTTATAATCGGAACAAAGGAAACAGTTACTCTTCACTTAATCAAAAAAGACAGAGGAAAAAGAGTTTCAGACCGAAAAAGAGCAAGTACCAAGCAAATCGACAGTCCCAAATATGCTGGCGAAGAGGAGAGGAGAACAATAAAGGGGTTGGAAAGCACACAATTCAGGGCGGAGGGAGAGGGGGGGGGCAGGAGGGGAAGGTATGTTTCCTGAAGAAATACACAGCCAAAATATTATTAAAAAATGCGGAATCAATATTTACGACATCATGTATAAAATCACCACCCACCCTCAAGCAAGTACTTCTTCATCCATCCTCGCCTCCATTTTGGATGAACAAGCACAGCCTCTCAAGTGTGCCCTCACACAACATTCCTAGAGCACCCTACATTGTTCCGTAATGAGATAAGGGAGAGAAAAAAAAACTCGTTCCGTAATGAAAACGCTTATTTGCCCTTACGCCAAGCAACATATCCCCTTACCTACTCTGAATACTGAAGAAGGGCAACTATCTACCGGTACTGGCGAGCGCCCGAGAGAGAGAGAGAGAGAGAGAGAGAGAGAGAGAGAGAGAGAGGAATGGGTGCAGCACAGGCTAGACCCACTCTTTGGAACAAGCACTGCAGGATATGAGGGAGATTCAATAGACAATCCTCCGGACTTCACGGCCACAATCTTGGGTCAACTACTTCAGGAACCAGACTTTCATGCCCGGTACACCAGGAGAGTTCACATCAGGTGGTTCACAAGAAGAATTTCTGCCCTCACTCGACCACGATGGACTGACCTCGCTTGCCCCATTGCCCCATACCTACAGACAGATGATCCTTGTAGCTAACCACCACCACAATCTTGGGTCACTTCCGGCTCCGTACCCGGTACACCAGAGAGTCCATCTCGGGTGGTTCACCGACAGAATTGCTGCATTAACTGCTGCCCCACCTGGCCGGCTGCAACGCGCCGGCCTCACTTGCCCCATACCTATAGATCTGACCCTTGTGGCTAACCACCACCACAATCTTGAGTCAACCACTTCCGGTTCCGTACCCAGTACACCAGAGAGTCCACCTCAGGCGGTTCACAAGCAGAATTGCTGCATTCAGTGCTGCCCTACCTGGCCGGCTGCAATGCGCCCACCTCACTTGCCTGATGCCTACAGACAGATGATCTTTTTGACTAACCACCACCACAATCTTGGGTTGACTACTTCCAGGACCAGGGTTCCACATCCGGTGCACCAGAGAGTCCACCTCAGGTGGTTCACAAGCAGAATTGCTGCATCAAGTGCTGCCCTACCTGGCCGGCTGCACTGCGCCGACCTCACTTGCCCGATACCTACAGACCAATGATCCTTGTGGCTAACCACCACCACAATCTTGGGTCAACTACTTCCGGGACCAGACTTCCGTACCCGATACGCCGGAGAGTCCACATCGGGTGGTTCACAAGCAGAATTGCTGCTTGAGTGCTCCCCTACCTGGCCGGCTTCAATGGACCGACCTCACTTGCCTGATGCCTACAGACAGATGATCCTTTTGACTGACCACCACCACAATCTTGGGTCGACTACTTCCAGGACCAGGGTTCCGCACCCGGTACACCAGAGAGTCCACCTCGGGTGGTTCACAAGAAGAATTGCTGCACGAGTGCTGACCTACCTGGCCGGCTGCGATGCGCCGACCTCACTTGCCCCATACCTACACCATCCAGCTCAACGAAACAGAGAACCATGAGCCCGTAAAAATTGTTCAGTTCCACTGAAAGTGCGAAAGTTGAAAGCTGTGCTACACCGGCCCACAGTTGCGCTGCAAAAGCACTGCGGGCCCCACATCAGCCCGAACGACCGTCCGCCAAATCCAATCTATCTGTAAATTTTTGAAGTACGAAACCCCCCTCTCTCTCTCTCTCTCTCCTGATCGCCATCGAAGTCGGAGATCATCCATCCCTTTCGCAGACACTCTGACGACCCTGCCCCCGTCACCCTCTGGGCAGAGTGAGGGCATACTCACACTAGGCCTTCTCACCGATCCTTAAAACAATGTCCGCAGGTCAAAAACATCCACGTCGCGCCAGAAATTGTCTCATCCAATGCATTGGAAACAGGCCCAGTGTGAATATGCTCTAAGAAAGAAAGTGAACGTTTCCAAACCAATCAAACCAATCAATTGTTCGTTCCACAAGTTGTAGGGTGCACAAATTAAACTGGCACCAGCACTGTTTTCCTTTTGTCTCCACCAGCACACTATTTTTCTTTACCTCCAGCGCTTCTCTCCTCCCGATCGAGAGGAGGCTTGTCTTCAGCACCCCTCTTCCCTTCCGCTAGTGCTCGCATACCCACATCAAACAAACGAGGAACCCGCTGAGTCGAATGATGAATGATGGAAGACGTTGTTCGAGATATAAGCAGCTCCGCCAACTCACCAGAGCAATGATGCCACTTTGCCCCACAACCACTGCCTCCAGACGACCCAAATAGTGATACTTCCATTTGAATTACTACGAATCTTCAGATGCCACTCCGGGAATCTTCACACGTTACTTCGGAAGGGAAATTCTCTCTGAGTTGTGCCCAACGCCTCCGACTTGCAGATAAGTAAATCCACTGGAGAAAGCCACTCCTTTCCAGCACCGTATTATAAAGGAAAACGGGGGCCAGGGGGGGGTGGGGAAAGAAAGGGGGGGGAGGGAACAAAAAACTAAAAGCACCTTAAAAAAGCCCCCTCACTCCAATCCAATTCCATTCTGGCTCATATTCTCAAATACCAGCAAGCCTATCATCCAATTTAATGTATATTAATCGAAATTCTTCCATGAGCACAAGACATGCTCATCAAGTATACTTGCCATGCTGGCACACAGCCACCCAGCCTTCCGAATTCCCGCAAGAGAACTACCAAATGCGCTTATCGCGATCCATCAAGGCAACTGACTGCATGCAACTAACATCGACGTTCCACAACCTCTCTCTCTCTCTCTCTCTCTCTCTCTCTCTCTCTCTGTGTGTGCGTGTGTATGTCTGCCTGTCTGTGTGTGTGTGTGTATGTGTTTGTGTGCACAACCTCTTACGACTCCTCCCCCTTATTCCCTTCCCTTCCCTGCACCCTATCAACCCCTTACCTGAGACAGTAAGCTCCCAGCCTCTCTTCTGTGTAGACTAGCACCACCTCGATCTCGGTAAATGCAGCAAGCCGCCCGCAACCTGAGCAACCAACACTACAAAAGGGGACGGGAACAGCAATGGGGTGTGGCAAACATAGCAGACACACACATGGATTGGCTCCATTCGCGAATGGTGGAACACGATCGACTACCACAACCCTGTGATGGGAAAGGAGGCAACAGGGTTGCCTTATGGGCTGCAGCCGAACCATAGTGCAAGCTATTGGTGCATTCCTCACTGTCTGCTCTCTTCCATACGCATCTGGGATGTCCTAGACACCGTCAGACATCCACGTCCTCGTCTCTATAGCGCAATAGCTATCGGAGCATTCCTCACTGTCTGCTGTCTTCCATACGCATCTGGGATGTCCTAGACCCCGTCAGACATCAGCGTCCTCATCTCCATAGCGCAATAGCTATCGGCGCATTCCTCACTGTCTGCTCTCTTCCATACGCATCTGGGATGTCCTAGACACCGTCAGACATCAGCGTCCTCATCTCTATAGCGCAATAGCTATTGGCGCAGTCCTCACTGTCTGCTCTCTTCCATATGCATCTGGGATGTCCTAGACACCGTCAGACATCAGCGTCCTCATCTCTACCAAGTCGTCTTCACATTGTGATCGCCAGCTTGCTTTGCCAGTGGCACGTTGCGCACCCGTACGAGCTCCAGAAGGCTCAGGAGATGAACACTTCATATTTTTATTTCACTACATTCCCAGTTCAGACCTGGAGAAGGAGTTACAGTAATGGTCATGTTGCACGAAATGGTTGCCTGAGGATTGCACATAACACCAAAACGACATGATGTAACGGGTCAGTTAATACTCATACAAAGCAAGAACGCAGTCAAGACAAGGTCGAATTAAAAAAAAAAAAAAAAAAAAAAAAAAAAAAAAAAAAAAAAAAAAAAAAAAAAAAAAAGCAATGCCATTAAACCACCAGTACTTCCTCGCGTCGTGCCCGTTAACACACCACGATTTTAGGAAAAGTACGGGCTACTACAGGAGCACCCAAATTCATCCGACTAGAAACGTTTCTACTACTCTTTTTTTTTCGCGGCCGATAGCTCGGCCAAGTACTGGTGGTTTAAAACACCAGTCCAACCGGACCTATTTTGCCATACCAAGAGTTGCACCATACCGATCCCTGACCAATGAATTCACCCGTGGAATCAAATTTAAAAATAAAATAAGCGAGAGATAAAATAAAATCACCGACGGAATATGACAGGATGGCCTTTCAGACCTTTTACTATCATCATTACAGCATGCCGGGGAATCCTGTAGCAATGATGATAGTATCACCCGTGTTTGTGCCTCATCAACGAGGGAACATGGGCGGACAGAACAGGACCTGCAGAAGGCGATACCAGCAAGGGGTCAGCTTGTAGCCTCAGGACCATGCCAACCAGAGCAACCCCAGCACCTCCCTCCAGTCCCCTCCCCCTATGAAAATCCGCAATGTCCTCTTAATGCCCAACAAGAGGGGGAGGGGAGGAAGGGGGCATGCAGCAGTATCTACTTCATGCCAAGCAAGGGCGGGGGGGAGGGAGGGCATGCTCCAGTATCTGCTTGATGCCAAACAAGGGGAGGGGGCGGGGGGGGGGAGGACAGTGCATGCTGCTGTACCTGCTTAATGCCCAACAAGAGAGGGGGGGCACTACGGGCATGCCGCAGTATCTGCTTAATGCCAAACAAGGAGGGGTTAATGCCCAACAAGAGGTAGGGGGGAGAAAAGGGGAGGTAGGGGGGAGAAAAGGGGGCATGCTACCTCTAGATGTGTAACTAAAGCTTTGCATTGCAGACACCGAGCATCACCACGCCTATGCTGCTCGAACCCATGACCTCCAGAATGCCACTTGTGTGCCTTACCAACTGAGGTAGGTCGCTGACGCTTTGGTGATTTGAAAGTTACATGGCTTCGACAAACGTCCAAAAAAAAAACATATCATAGACGTCGCATATGTCACGCTGAATAGACGAGGGTGGAACTAATCAAAAAGAAAACAGTTCAAGAAAACACTTTCCTTCCAAATTTATTCCTTGCCTGCAAATAAAAAAAGAGGCACACGCAGTGTCACGCACTAAGACAAGGCACAAAAAAAAAAAAAAAAAAATGCATACTGCACGCTCGGCAGTATGCCTCCTCTCTTTGACCGGCTAGGGCCAATCATTCACACTCCAGAGAAGCCAGCACTGGTCTATAGACAAGGTACCAAAAAAGTTTTAAAAATAGGTTTGGGGTAAAAGGTGGTTTACATCCGAAACAAACAGACAGGAAACAAAAAAAAAAAAAAAAATTGCAGGCTCATCTATATTTTTATTATTTTCAGGCAAACAAAACAGGAAAAAAAAAAAAACAGAAAAAAAAAATTTCAAAACAGGGCTATGGCTCTCGAGCGGTATCATCATCCAACTGACCGGTCCCTTGTACTTCAGACTGATTTTATTACTCTGAAGATCTGATCCTCTCAAGACTCGAACTCAGGTCTGTACCCAAGACATCAAAACAGGGCTATGGCCCTCATGCGTCTGCCCGTCATCAGCCAAGCCACATGGATTGGACAAACTGCCTTCATAACCTCAAAAAGAGTGAATCTTTTGAGTTTTTGGACCCCACCCCCTCTACTTGTTTTAGCCCCTCAAAAGGGGCCACGCTAATTGATCTAGTACCCTGTAT